AGGAAGGAAAGCAAAGAGGAAGGAAGGAGGGAGAGAAGAAAAGCAAGCAAGCAAAGAAAAAAGCAAGAAGGAAGGAGCTAAGGATAGAAGGAAAACAAGAAGGAAGGAGTTAAAGAAGGAAAACAAGCAAGCAAAGAAGAAAAGCAAGGAAGGAAAGCAAGAAGGAAGGAAAGCAAGAAGGAAGGAAGTAAGGAAAGAAGGAAAGCAGGAAGGAAGAAGGAAGAGGACTTCTTGCCTCTCCTGCACCCTCCTTCACGATGTCCCCCTTGCTGCGCCCCTTGCTGCTTCTCCTGCTGGTGGACATGGTGTCCCTGGGCCTATCCCAGCGGTGGGCCCTGCCCTCCCTGTGGGGCCCGCTGCTGTCTTTGTGGGGCCTGGCTCTTGTGCGGGGCCTGGGTCTGACCCTGGGGGCGATGCTCCTTCGGCCAGGCCTGCCCCCTGGTCTGGCCTCTGCCCTGCTGCCCTCGGCCGCTCTGCTGGCCCTGCTGCCCCCCTGCTGCGCCACCCTGCAGTCCTTGTCCTTCCCCATGGGGGGTGCCCCATGGCTGGCCTTCTCCTGGGGCAGAGTGGACGTCCTTGCCCTGCACTACGGGGCCGTGGTGGCCGTGGCCCTCCTCTGGCACCACCTGAAGGGGCCGACACAGAACGGAGGAGACCAGGAGAAGAAGGAGGGAGCCCCTTCGGCCTCCTTGGGGCGCCTGGTGAGCAGCATGAGGCCAGAGGCACTGCGGTTCGTGGCCATCGCCGGGCTCCTGGTGGCCTCTTCCCTAGGTGAGTGGAGACCTTGGGGGCATCAACACTTGGGAAATTATATATGTATATGTATGTGTACACACACACACACACACACACACACAAACTGTATATAGTTTTTCAGCCCCTTTTTAGGCTGAAAAAGCTTCCCTCAGCTAATACTCGAGCCAAGGTTATTTATTATTTTACTCTGTTATTATTATTATTATTATTATTTATTACTCTATTATTTTATTACATTTATTATTTTACTCTATTATTAACATTATTACAGTTACATTATTTTACCGTATTATTTTTAGTTACATTTATTTTACTCTCCATTATTATTACATTTATTATTGTTATTATTATATTTATTATTTTGCTCTCTTTATTATTATTGGAAGGATACGTAAGCACATTTACATTGAAGGAGGCTAGAATAATAGTTTAATCAGAGTTGGACAGTCTTAAGTTACAGTTTTATAAAAATACTAGCTGTCTCCTGCCACGCGTTGCTGTGGCCCAGTCTGTGTATATGTGTTTTATGTGTGTATATATGTGTGTCTATATTTGTGTATATGTGCATGTGTGTGTATATATATATATATGTGTGTGTGTGTGTGTGTGTGTGTGTGTGTTTTGCACATGCATTATAATGTATTTTTGGGTTTTTTTTGCTTTTAAAGTCCCTTCCACTGTGTTTTTCAGTGCTTTTATGGGTGATGGTCACTTCTTGGCCTGATAGGTGTCTTGTGTCCAAATTTGGTGTCAACTCGCCCAGTGGTTTTTGAGTTATGTTAATCCCACAAACGAACATACATTTTTTATTTATATAGATTCAAAAACATTTAACCTATGGATGTCTCATTTAATCTAATTTTAATGGTATCTATTTCTATTTTGAAATCTACCAGTAGCTGCTGCATTTCCCATCCTCGGCTAAGACTCAAGTCAATACATTTTCCCAGTTTTTGTGGAAAAATTAGGTGTCTTGGCTTATATTCGGGTCGGCTTATACTCAAGTATATATACACACGCACCCCAATAAGCAAAGGTGAATGGGGTTTATTTCTTCAAAATGAATATGAATTTAATTACATTTAATCGAGATGTTTTTTACAATTTCACTGAATGTTTAGTCCATTGTAAACACATGCATTTCATTTTTATGTATTTATAACTTATTAGAAATTATCCTGTAAACGCCACCGTGTAGCCCTTTTCCAACGCAAAAGGAGGTCAAAGCTCCAGCATCCTATTTACCTGGCCCCTCCCTGCAAAGTCCCCAAGGGTCCTGAGTCTCCTTCCTTTGTGTCTTGTAGGGGAGATGGCCATCCCGTATTACACGGGACGAGTGACTGACTGGATCGTGACTGAGGCCGGGACTCCTGCCTTCCAGAAAGCCCTCTGGATGATGACTGTCCTCACGGTGGGCAGGTAATAAGCAAGTCCAGGAGAATTCGTGGGAGGCCTGGGTGAATGCCGGGGAGGGATGTAATCGGGGCACTGGTGGTCAGAGATCCACCCCCTTTCCCTTTTTCCCCAGTGCCGTGACGGAGTTTGTCTGCGACTACCTCTACAACACCACCATGAACCAGTTCCACACCCGCCTCCAGAGCACGGTCTTCGCCTCCATCCTGCGTCAAGAGATCAGCTTCTTCCGGGCCAGTCGGACAGGTAAGACCTCTGGTTCGTGGCCCCCCATCACCACCTTAAATTCATATCAAACTCTCTCAATCCTCACAAATAGGATTGGAGGAAATGTATTATGCCTTCCGATAATGTAGCTATTTTTTTTAAAGTAGCATGAAAGCTGTTAACAGGGTTTCCTTTCAAATAACAACAATAAGTACTGTTTC